GAAGCGCACTTGACCAAAGCACCTGGCTCCACGGCCAGAATACTCGCCTCTTGTAACTTGTATTTTGACTTGTTGGTTGCTTGGCACTCCTCGCCGCTCCCTGGAAATCGCGAAGCGGCTGACCGTTGCAATCAGCACTGCGCACACTGTGCTGCTCCGCAGAATTCGCTGGACGCGGAATCGTGTGCAATACTAGGAAAGTCTGAATTTGGCCATAAACCGGTGAAACTGTTATCCATAGGCTCCGATTAGAATAAATGAAATTACAAGATAATTAGGAGAAACTGCTTAACTCTACGGAAGCAAAAGTGCTCACAAGGAAAAATGCCAATGAATGGAATAAAACTCTATACGGAAAAATCTTGAAAACGATATAACTGAGGCATGTGAGCGGAACTTTTTAGTCATCTCTTTACAAATCTCAAAATTTCACTGGAACAAATATCCTGTTAAATATTAGGTTGTCCCGAAAGTTTTGTCCGTTTTTTCAACCTATCATAAAAATACGTGGAACAAAGATAGGGAAACGCTCTAAGCACTATCCGACGCATCTTTTCCTTCTCTTTCTAACTGTCATGCTTCCATGCCGATTAATCTTTTGTTCACTGAGATAAACGCCGAAATTTCGAACCCATGGTTTTTACTATGTCCAAGTTTGACAATTTTTCACAATCTTCATTTTCAACTTTTGGAAGACCTTTGATAGCTCTTAGATAGAGTAAGCAAAGGGCAATGCAATGCAATTATTTGGCTTATCTAGCTAGCTTTTCAATATTTTTAAAGATAATTTTTCCAAAAGTCTTCACTTTTGCGAAGTTCTAAAATACAGAAACGCCTCGAACACTAACAAATCATCGAATTTTGAGGCTTTCAAAAACCGATTACGATTATTCACTATTCTTACGAAGCAAATGAGCGTTTACCGCTTCGAAATTTAAAATTTTGCATTTTACGTGTACCTGGGGTGGGGTCAAATTCAAGAATTATGAAAATTTTATTGCCAAAGACCCCGCAAATTGGAGAGAAAAAACACTCACTGGAAAGAGGAGGAAAAGCTGCATCGAATAACACCTTAGTTGTGCGCTGTTTCATAATCTCTGGCTTTTGGCATCACCAAAAGTGGAATTTGATAGCATCAGAAAAATAATTTTAAAAAATTTTCAAGGCGGGCTATAGAAGCCGCAAAATTGCATTATATTGCCCTTTGTTTGCTCTATCTAACAGTTGCCAAAGCTTTTCCGAAAGTCAAAAATAAAGATTGTGAAAAATTGCCAAACTTGGACATAGTGAAAACCATAGGTTCGAAATTTCGGCGTTTATCTCACTGAACAAAAGATTAATCGGCATGGAATCATGACATTCAGAAAGAGAAGGAAAAGATGCGTCGAATAGTGCTTAGAGCGTTTCCCTATCTTTGTTCCACGTATTTTTATGATAGGTTGAAAAAACGGACAAAACTTTCGGAACAACCTAATGGATTTCCCATATTATGCTTATTGCTTTTCTTATGACACTTGCGTTTAGAGTAAATTAACTCTGTTTCTACAAAACCAAACTTTTTTTATCAACGATAGTGATTTTTGCTTCTTTCTGGATTTTTCGGAAATTGCAAGATTATTATCCCCTTTTTTGTTCGCATTGTGAATGCTCCTGGCTAACTCATAAACAAGAACATTTGAGAGAAAATAAAGTTCTATTTCTTGCCTTTTCTTTTTCCATATTTCTACGTTATTCCTTTGAAGAAAAAGCTATCTCCGTTTGGGCCAGGTAATTCTATACCACATCTTCTCTTTTCCCTCTTCGTTTTCTTAATTTGGTTCTCCTTTTTTTTGCTGCAACTAATTATAGCAAAGCCCTCAGCTGTTCGTTCTCGGAACTCTCATCCTGTTCGGTAAAATTAGCCTGTACATTGAATTCTGTACTTCAAAAGACAAGAAAGCCTAGAATTCATTAACATTGCCACCGTAAGCTTGTTGACCCACTTTGCTTAATGTAGGAACAATTTTCTTTTCTATGGTGCGGAAAGTCTTTATGAAATTTCGCTTAGAGAGGAATTATTCGGAAGAAATCGAAATCAGATTTCTTTAATCTTAGAATGTCCGACTTTATTTTTTGAAATCAGTACGCTATATATCCTCTCATCTTTCTCCATGAAATGGAATTTCTGGAAAGTTTACCAAACACTAAACAAAGCTACATATTTTAAGATTACGCAGTTTGCAATAGTGGTGCTGTTTGATGAAGTCGACTGCAAAAATTACGAAGGGAATTATGAAAATGTTGAAAAAAATTCATAAATTAGCAAAAACGAAGTAGAAAAATATTTTTCGTTTGGTCCATGAAGGTCGAATGGAAAGATGTGTAATTGTTAAAGGAGTATTTTGTAGGACTTGCTGAAGTGATTTAAGCCTGAAAATCTTCTTGAAGGGTTGGTGCACAAAATGGGTAACTAAACCGGCCACAGTAAACTGATGGAAGATGGTCCTAGCCCGCCGTAAACCCTTACAAAAAAGCATCCTGCAGATTTCGGGCTTAGGTTTTCAAGTACACTTTTCATGTATAGGAATCCCCCGTAGTCCCTGATGGGACATTCCCAAAAATTGGCAAGGAGGCACGGGTAGGCCAACGCACCCTGCTGGATGGGCCACACCCTGGTTGAAGTCCGTAGGCTTCTCGCCGGCGCACGCCTGACACCCATGCCGCTCCTTGGTATGTCAAGCACTGTGCCGATTCTGTGAATGCTGCGCTTCATATGTCACTGCAAACATCTCGCTGGACGCGAAAATGTATTCATCGCAGGCAAATTCGAATGCAAAATCTGTACAATCTTTATCTCGCAGAAAAAGCTGTGAAATTTTTGACAAATTCTGAAAAATCGCTGAGTTTCTCGAAGGCAAAAAGTAATTTATACGATTGGAAAGGTGCGAATGATTGTAGTTAAGGGCCAAGGGTGAAACGAATCTTAAAAAAGTCCTTTTGAAATTCTACCACAAATTGCACTAAGTTATTTTCAAAAATTCCTAATAATTAAAAAACATAATTTAGTTGCCAGCCAGGGTCAAGGGCCGACTTTTTTGGTGTACCTTTCTGTTTTTATCGCTTTTCTTCAACAACTAACTTGAATAATTAAGATCTATTTCAAGTCTTTTTGGAGAGAACAAAAAGACTCATAAGCCATAGTACGCTTGAGAAAAAGGAATATAGTAAGCCTCTCAGTTAGGGCCCTAACATCTTCTTTGGTAGACAATTTGAGTGATTTTTTCGTGCTGTACTGCATAAAGGAATCGCTCAAATCCTGGGTTTCCTCTTCAGCTTTAATCCAAATATTTTTATACTTTCGTCTACTGAGCAGCGGGCCAGATATGTATGTTCTGAAATTTCGTCAAAAACTGCTATTGAAATGCAGTTGCATTACAAAATTGGATTTCATCACATTTTATCTTCTGGATATATTTTAGAAATCTAAACTTATATGCGGTATACCCTTCCGCAAAATCATGAGGAGATTCGCTGTCAATGTGCTGAGGAACTAAAATCCCAAAAGTTATGGCAAGATTAGTGAAAATCTATCTTGCAATCTTTCTAACTAAGCAAGACAAAAAAATAGAGTTGTAACAAATTTCTGGAATAATTACGGATGTACAAATTTCATTCCAATTCATTTAAATAAAGGAGAAACAAATAAAAATTTATTGGTGGTTGTCGGAGATATTAAGCTTCCGCTGCTTCTACGGTTAGAAGGAAAAAACTATCATCACTTACATTCAGATTGATCTGAATCAAAAACGCAAACTCCCAGATTTCTCATAAGCCTGTTTTCCTATGGTCCCCTATAGGGCCGGTCATACCGGTCAGCGATCCATCGCGTCGCTGACTTTCCCAAAGGACAAGTGTTACAAGGCCGGAGATGACTGCGTATCTGTGCTGGCTGTCCGGCGCGATGCATCGCGGGCCGTTTTCTACCCGGCCATACCGATTTGCGCGAAATCGGCGCGATCGTCGCTCATCCTAGCGAATTCGCGTCGCTCATTTCAAATGCGCGACGCGATGGATCGCTAGGATTGGGATCTGTTTCCAGAAAATTTTTATGATTGTTCTTCACTTTCTTAAAGGCAGCGTACACCCAAAATCTAAGTTACCGAATTTCCCAGATCTTTTTATACCATGTATATACTGGGCCCAGAAGAAGACCAACTGTGTTGGTCCGGTCTCCCAATGTTGCTTCTGAGCGGAGAAAACCCCACTCAATTTTCTTTCATTCCGCCCCTTTTCTTTCACTCCGCCTCCTCCGGACGAATCCACGACAGCGTAAGCTTCAGTTGCCGTTGCAGTTGCTCTTGCAATGCTGTTGCATCTGCAACTGCAGTTGCAACAGTGCATTGCTTTTTGCTTTGCGCCTCCTTCGGGCGACGAACCACGACAGCATATGCAGCGGTTGCAGTTGCAACTGCAGGCTGTCATGCTGTTGCAGCTGCTGGCATGCCGACGGGGACGAGCAGTTCAAAACTCGTCCGCCCCTGAAGAGAGGGTCCCCGGAAATCGGGGTTTTTTGGGACTTTTGGAGGATTTCAGTGACATAACTGTAATCAGCGGCATGGAAAGGCCCCAGAATGACAAAAACATCGAAGGTGAAATTTTGGGTGTACGCTGCCTTTAAGCTGGTCTCGTGTCTGGGGATTGGAAACCTTTAGTTTTGTCAAAGTGCATCGGTTTTCCGTGAAATGCAAGGCTTTCGATTTATTAGCAATTGTCACTCACGCTAAATGCCTTGCACACTTCCCAAATTTTCCCGCTCTCCATTTTTCCCATTCTTTTGCATTCCTCTTTCATTTAACAATTTCAACAGAGGAGTAGCTTCTACTACTATAAATGAGTACTCTTTTGATGTATAGAACTTCTTCTGTGACAGGTTTGATGCTTGTTTATCCTGCTTTTCGCATTGAACTGCGTAATACCGTTTGTTGTCTATTTGAAGTGTTTGCACATACCATACTTTAGGATATATATATTAATGACCACACGCTTGATTGTGAAAAGTCTGCCGGCGAACTGCACCGAAGCGAGTTTGAGATCTTTCTTCAAGAAGTATGGAACACTCAGTGATTGCACACTGAAATACACTAAAGAGGGAAAGTTTCGCAAATTTGCGTTCGTTGGCTTTGATAGCGAAGAAAATGCCAAGAAAGCTCTCAAGGAAACAGATCTTTCTTTTATGGGATCATCTCGTTTGCATGTGAGTAGTAAAGCGTAATATAGTTTGTGGCGCTTTAATTAATCACTCTATATCAGGTGGAAGAGTGCAAACCATTTGGCGATGCAAATAAACCTCGTGCGTGGAGCCAGTACTCAAAAGATAGCAGGTGTGTAGCTGTGTTGTTCTGAATTCTATTTTCTGCTTCTGTTTCTTTTTCTTGCATACAAGTGGTCTGGTTTTTTTAACACGTTGACGACGAGCCATTTTTTGAAGGTCTGTCCCTGTGGACGAATCGTTTCCGGGCATTTTCACAGCCGGCTGCACATATATATGCATGCATCTATGCGTGAGATACACAGATGCAAGTGGGCGGGGCAGCTCCGCCCACTTTTGGCAAGCCCTGCCCACTTCCAAAAAACGCTGGAAATTGCTCAAAATCAATGAATTCGTGCAAATTCCGGCATTTTTTAAAAGTGGGCGGGGCTTGCCACTGAGGCGGTGGAGCCCGAATTACGGGGGGCGGGGTCAAAATTAAGATTATTTGATTTTCCCCTGTCATCTATGAGCTTTTCTATGCGATTTGAGGACGAAGAAAGTTTTTTGTAGAGGGCAATGGAGTGGGCAGAGTTTGCCAAAAAAGGGGGCGGGGCCAACATGAAATACTTTCGAGCCTAACTTGATTATATGAACACAAATTGGAACCATTGTGCACATTAAAACTGATGTTTAGGGTGTCGCGCACCATTGCGCGACATCGTCCACGGGGACAGACTGCCTGTCGCGCACCATTGCGCGACACCGTCGTCAACGTGTTAAATTTAACTCGATGCTCATCTTCTTTCACAGTACAATAGTTTTCTCTTGGCACTCACTCTATTTTACCAAACTCATATGCCTGACGAGCCTTCGCAATAATATCAGGGTTTCAATAGAAGTTAGAGCCTACATTGACTCAGCGAATCGATAATATTTTGACACTAGACGAACTTGATAGGATATGAACTTGTTAACGAATCTATTCGGTCTTTTGTTTCTGCGATTAGCGACTGTGACTGACTGTTGTTTATGACTATTCTCATTTTCGTAACTTATGATGTTTTGTAGACTCGAATACGAAAGGAGATTCTGGAAACTGGACGACTGCTTGTACGGAATTTGCCTTTCACGACAAAAGAAGAGGATTTACATTTCTTCTTCAAAACGTTTGGAGAAATCGCTGAACTGCAGGTCCGTTGTCATTTCTTTCTACCCGCGTCACAATTTTCAGTTGGTTTTTTTTCGGGTGTGCCGAACTTATGGCATAGCAAAGTCTTTTTTTGTACTGATATTATCTGTTTTTTAACTAATTCTCAATCATTATCATTCTGTCCTTGGCCTATCCCATCATGTTCAGGTCATCGTTGACAAAAAGACTGGCCAATGTAAAGGGTTTGCTATCGTAGACTTTGTTTTCCCTGAATCTGCTGTAGCTGCTTATGCTGCAAGTAATGGCAAGATTTTTAAGGTCTATTTTCTTGTTGCTCTGTAATCGCTCCAAAAGACAATATAGGGTAAGATGCTCAACATTCTACCTGGCTCAGAAAACCGCGAAAGGAACGACACGGATAAGATTGCAGCAAGCGAGAAAACCTCTTACAAAAAGGAAAAGATGGCGAAGCTCAAAGCGGCTGCAACGAAGGTGCATATAATTCTGGTAAAACCTTGATTCTTTTATGTTTATACAACTGGTAGTTTAGTCTCATTCATGGAATGCCCTCTTTCTTGGTCCGAACGCTATAGCCGACACTCTAGCTGAGAAGCTTGGTGTTAAAAAAGGTGACCTGCTAAACTCCGAGAGTGGAGAAAGGTACTTAATGACTTTTTCATGTTTACTTTTCTCATTTATTCTTTCCAGTGACTTTTTCATTTTCTCATTTATTCTTTCTTCAGCGCAGGTGTCCGTTTAGCATTAGCCGAGACCAGGCTTGTGCATGAAACGCGTGAATTTTTCCTTAAAAATGGCGTCTGCCTTGATGCATTCTCGAGACCGGCTGCCAAAAGAAGGTAGGAATTGTATACCATGGTCTCTCTCTAAATGCAGCGAAAATGTTCAAGAATTCTACTGACACCGTGATAATCACCAAGAATCACCAGTGGGCACCTTTAATGTCCCGTACGGGAAATTCAAAAATTGACAGGGAGGTGGGGATAGACCAAGGCACCCTGGTGGATGGGTCTATAACTTGATGCTGAACTTGGATTTTGACTTGCTTGCAAAAATCGCTTAGCACCCCTCACCGATCCCTGGAAGTGCCAAGCGCCAGGTGTTTGAGTAAACGCTGCGCTTTGAAGGTTACTATGACTCGCTGGTTGCGAGTAGGTATAGCAAGAAGTAAATTCGAGATTTGGCGCAAAAAGCAAAACATTTCTTTGGGAAAGAATAGGAAAATGATCAAAAATTTTCTAGTTTAATGTTAGTTTGGCATAACTTCAAACTTTCTAGCAAAATCTAAGAAGCGAGCTTGAACTATAAGAGATGAACTCATGTTGTGAAAATTTGTCCAGCAGTTTTTTTGGTTCATGTTTGTTTCTGCAGATTCTTAACGTCAGCAAAAGGAAGCTCAGGTCAAATAATAGTGTAAAACTTGAGATATTGTCCCTCCTGTCAATTTCTAAGCTAAGACGTTTCTACTGAACTATCAAAGTGTACGCCAGAAATTACTGCAGATAATTTGATAAAACTGTACTACATATTACTGGAGAATCTCTAACCATCGTATAATCAAACTGTTATTTCACGTGATTTTGAAAAATCTCATCTTTCCAAAAAAACTATGAAGTCCCGCGCGGGACGGTTTCAAAAATTGACAGGGAGGCAAGGGTGGACAAAAGCATCCTTCCGGATGGTCCGTTACTTGCGACGACTACTCAAATTTTGTTTAAACGCAAAAATTTGCTTGGCACCCCTCGCCGATCCCTGGAAATGGCAAGCACCACGTACTTTGCTGAACATTGCGCCCTTTGTGCTATTCCGAACAACGCGCGGGATGCGAAATAATGTTCAGCATGGGGAAATTCAAAGCTCAACGCAAAAGTGAAATTATCGAAAATTTCTGTGGAAAATCTCTTAAAAATTGAATAAAATTTCAACCTCAATGCAACAATTGACAATCATGCAAGCGAAAATACTAACTATATCATATTTTTGTGGGTTTCAACGCCGTTAACAAATTTCTTATTTATTTTGAGTTCTAAAGTGACTTCTACCGGTAGCTGAAGAGCGCTTGGATCCCAAGACACAGGGCACTTCCGACCAGAAATAAAAAATGAGCCAGCTGTTCAAATTCACAGAGTCTCCTCTTTTGATCATTTTGCTCCTTTTCTGTTTCCATTTTCATACTCGCATCTCAAAACTAATCTTCTGTTTTGATTTCGCTGAACTCCCGGTGTGCACAATAAGCTGTTTTCATGATTATCGTAATTTTTCAAGAATAGTATAAGATACCGTCAATACATTGCTTTTCCTCTTTGTAATTATTAGGTTGTCCGGAAATTTATGTTCGTTTTGAATTTCAACCGCAACAAGTCATAAATTTTTCATTTCTGAATAGCTTTCAAGGTACCATTCGATAGAGCAAAACAAGCTCTACAAGATGACAATCTTGCTTTAGCAACAGCTCTGATCCACCTCGAGTTTTGACCCAAAAACTAAAAAGATTTAACTGCCCGAAAAATCGAGAAAAATCATAACTCAGTTCATAAGAATCCTACAAAAATTCTAACTTGCTCACGTAAACACTATCCACATAAGGCATGTATGTACGCCGTTGCCGTACTTTTTTTTCTGTTAGAAATCAAGAAAACCGAATTTCTCGTGCATTTGCCAAAGTGATGCTGTGCTGTTCCCACATAGCTGGTTGTATACTACAAACTGTGGAAGTACAAATGTAAATTTTCAGCTCTCTCTCTAAGCTATAGTTCTCGAGAAATCTGAATTTTTTGGCCCCCCTGATTTGGGAAAGCTATATTCGATAATTCTCGAGAACTAGTCTTGCACAGAGCTGAAAATTTACGTTTGTACTACACAGGCTTGCGGTATACAACTACCTATGTGGGGACGGCACAACACCACTTTGGCAAATGCACGAAAATTTCCGTTTTCTTGATTTCTAACAGAGGAAAAAATACGGCAACAGCGTGCATATATGTCTTATGTGGATAGTGTTTACGTGAGCAAGTTAGAATTTTTGTAGGATTCTTATGAACTGAGTTACGATTTTTCTCGATTTTTCGGGCAGTTGAATCTTTTTAGTTTTTTGGTTGAAACTTGAGGTGGATGAGAGCTGTTGCTAAAGCAAGATTCCATCTTGTAGAGCTTGCTTTGCTCTATCGAATTGTACCTTGAAATCTATTCAAGAATGAAAATTGTATGACTTGTTGCGGTTGAAATTCAAAACGGACATTAATTTCCGGACGACCTAATACTGCATGTTCGATTCCTTTATTTGTCATTCACAGATAAAAAATATGTCATATGTATAAAATGTATGAATTTGATTTTTGCGATGTAAGATGTTTCTGTGGAAAAGAACATAATGAAAGGACGGGATCACCATTTTTCATGATATTCAATCAAGTAATCCTCAACCCTTAGGCAAAATCGAAATCTCTGCCGCACCGATTTGACAAATTTATAATCTTTGGCTTTCTCAACGGATTTGCCAGATCTCTTGAAATTGGGAGAAGAAATGACGTTTTTATAATCGCGCCTAAGCAGCTATTTACTACGCATAAATTTATAAAGAAGAAACGGTAGAAGAAAACTCAAATTTCGATTTTCCTGTGTAACGCCAAATATTTGGAACTTGAATTTTCGGAGCGATCGGTACTCTATTTTGATCTTTGTAGAAAAACGAAGTTTGTGCTGATTGAAGGATTCCATGAAAAATCGCGATTTTTGAGGGAAATGACAGAAGGAATTTTGTTTAGATGCTCAAGCACAATTATTGGCTCTATATAGTTTATCTGTCATTTTGCTTATAGTCTCATTAGCTTCCCACACTGTCCAAATTTTTTTCTGCTAATTCGTGAATTAGATTAACCTCAATAAAAAAACTTGGAAAATCATAGAACTGCTTTTTTGCGGATGTAAATATCGCTTTTCTTGGCTGAGAAACTATCTACTACAAAATTTTCTTTGCACATCCCCTGTTTCGGCCCCATGTTTGGGACCCTCACAAAAATTGGCAGGGAGGCACCGCAGGCTGCGCATCGTCACCGATGAGCCCGCCAGCTGGTTGCGTTTGCGAATTACCTTGCCGAGTAAGTACGAAAACGCTTGGCAACCCTCGCCTTTCCCTGGAGATGACAAGCGGCAGCTTCTATTGTTGGTGATGCACTTTAAATGCTGTGTTCAGCATGTGGAAAATCAAAGCTTACGAAAATCCTGCAAATTTTTTCATTCGGAGAAAATGCCGCTATTAGGACAATTGGCTTCCGAAAAGTGAGAAATTGTTAATATCCTTCGTCACGTTATACTAGGACAAGGCCTCTCTTATAATTCGTCTAAAGAAATGCTGGTGATCTTCATGGGGACATATAATCCATAGAGGGCATCGTCTTTTCCCACAAGAATTGTTTGTTCATAAACTGACAAGTTATTCAATGCACTCATTTGTTCATTATAGTTCCAAAAATTTATGAGTTTCTCTACTGAAATTATCAGTGTTGTGGATACTTTTGGCTCGTCAAACACATTTCTGAAAGAAAGTTAGGGTTCAATTTTTATTGGTGATAAAACCTCAGTCATAATACCTCTACTCCTCTTCCTCTCACATCGGTCCATTTTTACTGAGAAGATTATTTCGCTTCATTCCTTATTTGACCAGCAAATAAAGAATCTGTGCTGAACGTATGGGAGATACGCTTTTTTCATAAAAACTAATGACAATAACTCATGTTATTCTTCTAGAAACAAAGAGACTGTGTAGCGTTATCGGACCTTGGCATCAGTGCCCTTATGTCACTGTGTGAATAAACAAACATGAAGAAGGATCACACTGTTCATCTGTGAAGAACAACAAAGAACAGCAGCGAAAAAGACATAGGTACTCCCCTAAAATATGAAAAAACGATTCGAGGAATCTGAAAGGAATCGAAAAAGAGACAAAATAGTTAAGCACATTGTGTTATAAATATAGAACTCTTCAAACAAGTGCAAAGGTCCTCCGAGTTTTCCGATGAAAAATTGAAGTATTGGAATTAAGCTGGCTAGAAAGTGATTCTAGCCGTTTTTTGAAAAAATTTGTAGAAACCTCACAAACAGTATTTCGGTATGGATGTATGGCATCACTGGGAAAAAAAGAAGAATAATTCAATGAGAGTTAGATACTAAATCGTGCTCGAAGGAAATTTTTTTATTAGGTACTAGAGGCGCAGAAAAGCGTGGAAGCCGGGTCTTCACCAAATTCCAAAATCATGTCAAAAAAACTACGGTCCATTGTAGAAGGACAAGTGATACACACATTTAATTTCGGTTTCCAGCCTTTGTGGATGGTCAAAGTCAAGCGACTTGGTTCCCGAAAATTGACTTGCAGCGAATGTCAGAGAATTCTACATTTTTGATTACAGAAACGCAAGTTGCAATGAACAAATTCAACTGCGGTTTGTCATGTAGACAAGGCTAGTGTGTATACAATCAAAAACATAATCGTTTCTTTCTAGACAGAACGACAGTAAGATTATAAAATCAAAAAAGTAATTTTTCAAGAAATAAGCATATAGACTTATTCGTAACTCCCTGAAAAAAATATCGGCAAGAAATTACAATTTTCACCAACTATCCGTCATAATTATTTATATTTATGTGCTCTTATGATCTATGGAATTTCCAAAGCCGTAGACCACCCGTGGCTCTCCTCAGAGAAAAATCACGGGGGATTATTCATCAGATAACAGACTGAGAGACAAAATGATGAACGTGAAAGATTGAGGAGAAGAACG